AGTAATATGCAGATGTAGCTCGTCCATAAATATACCGACATTACCCACAGATAAAATATTCTAAGATTTAAATATAAGATATAACACTTTGCATTAGAAACACAACAGACGCGCTGTAGCGAGGTATATTAAGCTTTTGAGCGATAGTTGTGTATGTGAACTGTGCAGGGGAAAAAGCATAATTATTTGGATTTGCCATAATTTGATTATAAAACTGAGATTGAAGATGAACAATTTAGATAGTTTGGTTCAGCAAAGTAGGAGGTTATATTATTTCAAGTTTGATAAGTTGCTAAATCTGTCACATATCGACCAATCGTTGATATATACAAGTTTTAAGATCCAATAAAATCACTGTACACATCCCTATTGAATGGATTAACCTTTAAACGCATCGCGTTCCGGGTTCCATGTACTCTGTGGTGTATAAATTTATATAGCTACCAGCTAAGTTACCAGGCATTTGACCCCACCCTTGTCCCGTAATATTACGGGGTTAGGTGTTCTAGTGGTTTAACGCGTGCGTGTGAAACCAATAGGTCTGTCATAGAGTCATGTGGTGTGGTTTCGATTCCCAGCTTCTACGTGACAAGGGGTATGATAGCCCTCTAAATTTCATTGTGTTTCTTTCCCTGGCTTCTGGTTTTCCCCCGTTGCTAAAGATCGCTACGCGCAATTATTGAAATAAAAATAAACCATAGGTTATTCCCGAAATGACCTAGTTTGTGTCGAGTGGGACTTAACCTCTCCCCCCCACCCCGCAGTAGCCGCTGGGGTCCATTCACTTGATTTGATACATTTGTTGTTTATTGTCTGTGTGTTTTGTCAGTAGGTTTGTCTGATGGTTTTGTTTGTGTGTAGTGCGCTCCTCCTGTACTTACTATTATAAAGACACATGCTGCTAATATGATGACTAAAACCTGGTCATTTGAGGGTGGTAGAGGCGCATGTCCTTGTCAGAGGAGATATTGAAATGGAAGATAACTGCACCTTACTAGATACTTACAGGTTATTGAAGGATATTGTACTTACTATTATAAAGATACATGCTGATAGAATGATGACTAAAACCTGGTCATTTGAGTGTGGTAGAGGCGGCTATTGAAGATATTGAAATGGGAGATAACTGCAATTAACAAGTTAACAAGTCAATATACAGGTTATTTAAGGATATTGTCGAGGTGGTTCAAAGGTTAACGAATCGACGTCTTACTCACTGAACCACAGGTTATTGAAGGATATTGTCGAGATTTTTATAAGAATGTTTAACGATAGTTAATATACAACCGCCCACATTGATATCAAGAACAGTTTTTATTCATCTTTTATGTGATTTTTTTGGTATTATTTCTAACTTATTGACATACTGCGAAATAAGCTGAGGTTTTACATGTTAAAGAGGCATTAGGTAAGATTGAATAAAGAGCTGACAGTTTTCACTATGATATAGCTAAAAAATAGATAATGAAAACAGAATATGCTCAAATTGCTTTACTTTGAACAGATATATTAGCGATTTAATTTTATGCAAGTAAAATTTGGTGTTCCCCGAGGATCGGTCTCGGGACCAATTCTATTTACTATCTATACCTCTCCCCTTGGTGAAATCATCCGCAAACACTGTGCAGACTGTCATCTTTTTGCAGACGACACTCAACTCTAATATGACCACCATGTGATATTCCAGACAAACAACAGGAATTGGAACGCTGCATTGAGAGCATTAGAGTATGGAAAACTGCAAACATACTTAAACTGAACTGTGACAAAACAGAGTACATGACCATTGGCTCAGAATCATATGTTTCATCATTAGATAGTCACCCCATTCATGTTGGAATTGATCACATCAGCCCTGTTCAATGTGCAAGAAATTTGGGGGTTATGTATCAAAGGCATATGTAACTTCCAGCTGTTCAACATTGGTCGTGTACAAAAATACTTAAATACTGATTCAACTAAACTGTTAGTGATCTCTTTAATCACATCTAGATTGGACTTTTGTAATTCATTACTTTACGGACTTCCAGCTTCTTCTCTTCGCTCACTACAAAAGATCCAAAACACTGCTGCACGTCTGATCACCACAGACCACATAACACCTGTGCTCAAATCCCTCTCTTACAAGTACATCCATGGTTTAGCTCCTAACTAAATGGGTGATTTTATACAAATCAAAAGTGGAGAAAGAACAACTCGATCAACATCAAATTACGACCTTGTTATTCCAAAAACTTTGAAAGTGTCATGTAGTGATAGGGCTGTTTCAGTGGCAGCATCCATCCAATGGAATAAACTCACAGCAACATTAAAGGAAGCCAGAACATTAGAGTCATTTAAATTATCCTTGAAGACTCACTTACTCACTGTGAATACCAAACGTGACAGCGCAGCTGAGCGCCGTCAAGTAGAACAGTTCTAGATGAGAGGCGCTATACAAATACATTATTGTCATTATTATTATACTACACAAAGTCTCGATTATCAATTTTTACGTTAAATTATCCGTCACAAAATGTATTCAAATCCACTTATACCGTAGGCTAACGATCGCAAAGAGAGCCGATTATGGTCTGGATAAGTTAATGTCTAATTAATAATTTAGATAACAGCTGCCCCCTAAACTGTCGAACAATCTGACTCTTCTGGCAGACGGGTAAAGAGAAAATAAAAATTATTATTTCATCTGTTGGCAAAATAAAGTGCCCGAAATCTAGTAACACGCTAATTTTACTTTCCTTTTTTGAATTGAATACCACGAAATTGTACCGTATTAACTACGGATTAAAGCATTTTGTCTGGAGCCACTCTACTTTGTGCGACATTTTTCGGGCATCGATTATTATTTGTTAATACAGCTACAGAAGTCTGATTGGATGGTTGGAATTTAGGTAGGCATAGAGTGGGATTTCGGTTGCCAACTTCACTTAATTCACAGGCTAGAATAGCAGAAATACGCATTTGTGGTGGTTAAATTTTCTCGGGAAATCGGTTGGTTGTTTGGAATTTGGGATTCACATAATTCACCTGAGGTAGACTATATTTGACCACATTGCAGTTGCTGTATTCACGGACTGGAATAGCTGGAAAACGCGTTTGGGACAGTTAAATTTTCAAAATGTCATCGAGCTCGTACGCCTATACATTACGAGACCATCGTATATGATATGTATCTGATATTTCTAGATTTATCTTGTTATGAGAACACTGGTCAAACACCCGTAGTAAAAGGCTTCTGGTTATTAGAAAATTTAAAATTCACGTCATTATCCAAATTTATAAATAATGAATTACATCAACCATATATTGACATACTTATTCAACAAGGACGTTACCCAAATGTGACGGCGTTAAGGAGCATAAAAGATCTGAATATTAATTTTATTTGTGCAAACCAGTTTGGTGTTACATAGAAGTAGAAGATATTAGTACAAGCTTCTTAATGCTAGGATCCAACTATCACGATTCGCCCTAAGCAAGATTTTCCCTACGCTTTTCGCAGATGACGCACCACCGTGTATAATCCGAATTTTTTTTCGGAGTTTCTGGTTCTGTCCCGCTAACATTCATCGAGCCCGTATGCAAATGGTGTGGCAATGGATTTTAATTACATACTGTTAACCACCCATTTATATTTTAATTACAATAAATCATATAGTTTATTCAGCTCGATAAGCAGGTGTTGGTAATTTATTCATAGTGGCGTCTGTACACACGTTGTTGTCCATAACGTCGTTGTAAAGGGAAACGTGATTCGTCGCCCAACCCTTCTCACCTCTAGTTTCCTAAATCCCACGTCTGTACTTTCGTTCACCAGCGAACACGCAAATGTCGATGTTGACATTTAGCCAGTTATCTAGCTTATCGAAGTCGGTTACGAACAGTTTGTGCATATACCTGTCTAATACTAGGCAGTGTTCGTTGATGTTGCACGTCGGACACGCAAGTACAGAACCCGGATGTAAAAATATTTTGATGCAGATGGTACCAGACTCTTCCATTTCGAGACCGGTTTTATGCTGTGTTCCATAGTATACACAAATCATATAGACTATATTCACTTAATGTAAAGCTGTAGCTAACAATCGTATTGATCTCTAACAACCCAACCGATATTTATACCATTATAGATTAGGAAGACAGATACAATTGAAATATTAACCAACTATACGTCATTTAATCAGTTTTTTACTGCTAGGGGATACTTTGCAGTCCATTATTCTACTGTTGTCTAGTAATCGTTTCAAATTAAATCCTGAAATATCCTCATTAAAGATACTTGAACACTTTTATATGTGAATCCCGAACAACGCGGTGAAAAACGAATAACAAACAGTTCGTTATTCGCTGCTTGAATAACAATTTGGATTGTTTTTCGTTTAAAAGTCGTTTTCCTGTGTTTTATGCTACTGGGGATACTTGGCATCCATAATTCTAGTGATGAGTAGCTGCATATTTGAATCTCGAATAACAAGTTGAATAATTAATAACGAGGTAGCGTAACCCACCTTGTTGTTCGTTATTGGTGAATAACGAAAAACGATTCAACTTCACACTGCCGTAATAGCTAAGACTTAATGACCGACATTTTAAGAAAGTAATTGCGGGAATAATAGAAAGGGAGATGCTAATTTTAGAAGATAATTTACTCAAGAACGACAGTACCAACGGACTAGGAACCGCTCATTAATTGTGAAGTCCATTCTGTTTCCTGCTAACTTAATCCCTCATTTATAAAATTTGATTATGATATGCAACATGACAGCCATTCGAATAAATTAATCAATTAAACATGTTCATAACTTAAATACATTGTTTATATTATTCTGTTTCCCCGAAGAGTTAATCAACCACATGTATTCAACTTGATTATAATATGCAGCATGATAGTCATGCCAATAAATTAAACAAAATCAATAATGTGCAATAGAACGCATGTGATTAGATATTTCTGTATAAAACAAACGATAAACTCCGTGTGCAACAGTCTAATTGTTTTACGTACTCTTGCGCTATAGTATAGTATAGTATAGTATAGTATTATCATGCGTGTTATTTTGTGTATTGCATTGATCTTAACCTCTGTTGTAAATGTCTACGGGGGGACGTGTGAATCCTGCTGCAAAAGTGAGCCATTTTTATTTTACGATATTGATTTTCTTTTTTCAAAGATTTGTTATTTTCTATTACACTGAAATATCTTCATCGACCCAAACAATATGGCGCTTGATATACTTTGTATATATTGTATTATACTAGACAAGATAATGTAAGAAATTTTAATCCCTTCAGGTGCCTGTAAGGTGGAATGTCCACCTATAATATATAGTATATTATAATATAATATCTAAAATGCTTTATCAAATTAAACACAACAGACCCTAAGGGACGTCCTTTGTGGACTGGGCAGTTCAGGGCCCTCAGACTAACTGGTGTCCTTGGGACGTGACAAGAAAAAAGAAACATGTTTGATTCACCATTCCCTCAATCCCACTCAGGCAATGGTATTTTTCAGTCGTCGCAAAGATTAAAGAACACGTTTCTATTTATTAACCGATTCCAAAATGATTTTATCGTGGTAAACAAATATTGTTACTACGGTAAAAATTGAACATTTTGTGACAATCTTTTACAAAAATTTACCATGTTATTAATGTGTAACTGTGTAATAATGGAATAGAAAAACTATCAAAGTTGTTACTTTGGTTAATATTGTTAATTCTAGTGTCAGCGTGTGACCCAAATCCCTGTAAAAATAATGGTACCTGTACACCACCCGAGAACAGTTACCACTGTAGTTGTGATCCTGGGTATGTAGGACAAAACTGTGACGGTAAGATACATTGTATATCAATAATTTCCTGAGAGAGAATGAGAGAGAGGGAGTAAAATGTTGATGAACTGATTGTATTTACAGCGAACTCTTTAGCGAAAGATTACAGATGAACGGTTCTGGATTGCAAACTGTGCATGTCATCGTTTTAATTTTCGAAAATGGTTTAGGAACTAAACCATGTGCATCTGTTCATCATTATGGTTACGAAGACGGATTCTTCATAATTCGGTGCAAGCAAAATCAAAGTAATATTACTCCAAAAATTAAATGTAGCGAAATGACTGCGAATAAGGGTGAATAATCATTCAGAGACACCAGCCAGCTTGTTCTATTATTTGTGCATATTTAATTCTAGTGAATGTGTGTCTACCTAACCCGTGTAAAAATAATGGCACGTGTTTACCAGTTGATAAGGGTTACATCTGTGATTGTGCTACAGGATATTTAGGAGAAAACTGTGACGGTAAGTTACGTACATTCGTTATTGTCATAATAATTTAGCCAGCCCTGATTGACCAGCCAACAAGCTTTTTTATGAACAAACCAAACCTGAAAGGACTCAAGATGCAGCCTTTTTTAACACCAGATTGAAATGAGAACTCGCCCATTACAACTGAATTTAATCTTTACATTTATGTAAATACTTTGTAACATTGTAATCATGGGACCATGTAATTATGCTCTAACAATGTATCGATTAATGTTTAAAGAGGTGCACATGAAATCGATAAAACTCGCATTTAATCGACCTTCTTTATAGTTACTAGTATATCTTTTAACAAGACGAAACATTGGGTATCCTCTCCTGGACCTAGATTGAGTGGCACCTTTTTATGTAAAGAACCTATAACGCAATAAGACCATGATTCAGAAAACTGAATTAGAAAATTTTGTTAGAAGTGGAGTTAATCTATAATGCGAGTATTTATAAATCTCAATGGGTACTTGTTGCATTCATTATTTTACTTAAATCCCTGGTAATTTCTAACTCGTTAAGAAATATCCATATTACATTATGCCACACTTAACAATTGGAATTATGATCACTCGCTGTCTCACATAATGATTATTAACATATCAGAGGTCTACATTTCTTAAATTTAATTCTAGTAAATCCCTGTACTATATACAACCCCTGTATAAATAATGGCAGGTGTTATCCATCAGAATTTGTTGTGAATTGTAGCTGTCCTCCTGGATTTATAGGAGAATTTTGTCAGGGTAAGCATATACTAACTTGTTCCCTTAGTAACTTGGATATATTTTGCACTGCTGCAAAAAAAATTAGTTTTATGATCACAGAGAAAAGCTAGGATGAATTTTATGTTTGCTCCACTGTCGCCTTTAGATGGATTAGGGGTCTAGTACAATTCGATCGCCTGGCTGTCCGTCACCTATTTTGAGCACAATAACCTTGTTTTTATAAATGAGACTTAATTCGATTAGCTTGATATTTATACACAGTGTTTATTTTTTTAAGACGAACAATAATATTGATTTTACAGATTTCAGATCATTACTATCAGAGATATATCCGATCTTTAGGTTTTCCTTACGAATCAGACGGAATCAATCTGTTGGTTTCTGTGATTTGTCGAGACATGGCCTGTTGTGTGGGCCTATTCGCACATTCACAAGACAAAGAATGCTATTGATTATCAATATATTCAAGTTTTCCTTTCGAATCGGAATGATCCAATCTGTTGATTTCTGTGATTTTTCGAGACATGACTGTTGTGTGGGCCTATTCGCCACATTTTACTGATTTAGAAAATTGCAGCACAACCACAATTACAGATGGCGAGGAAACACCATATTTACATTTTAACTATAATATATTTGATGCCATGTTGTCTTGAATTTCTCTTTAACATAACACTGGTAGTAGAGGGTAAGAACAGAAATCAGTTTTGCATGTTAACTATAATTTGATTAATGGAAGCCACGTTGTAGACGTCTATAAAACTAATTAAGTTGCTATTAGAAGTACAAAATATCAATTGATGCAATGACAGATGATTTAGTATCTGAACCTAACTATAGATTTAGACTTATCACAGGCGGTAACATATTAAAACAAATAAATATATTAGGAACAAAAAGGACACAATCTTATTATTTTAGATTGAATGTGAAATGTTTACGTGAGTCGTATCTCTCTATTGACTGTTCACTGTTCCAGATGGTGAGTCGAATGATCAGATGCTGCGATTAACATCCAGGGCACAATGATTTCTGAGTACGGGGAATATATCTCATTTGTTCATATTGTTAAAACAATATTGTAATATTTTGTTTCAGTGAGAAAATGTAACGTGGCAGAGTGTAAGGCTAGTGGGGGAGAGTGTACCCAACAAATATGTCATACCGATGGTAAGATACCTAGACTTATAAAACAATCCAGTTTTATATTATCCAAATAACACTGAAACAACTATAATGTTGTATACCACATGATACAATTATATGGAATTATAAGGTGGTATTTAATGATAATATTTAAATTCCATCATATAATTTGTGGATTGACTAGACATATTCCTTGGATTGCTTTGTCACATGTCACTTCATCATTTTATATAGCCACATGTTCATGTGGATGAATGTTGTCGTCGCCCCTACCAGTCTGTCCACCAGACCACATTTGATTGTGGACACTCTGTAGTTCACCACAGTAATCTGATTTTGACCAAACTTAAAACCAACAAGATCCCGATTCCTTTCGATATTGGCATGTATCGGGCAACATCTTCATGAATTATGACCCCTGATTGTACGAAGAATGACGTTTGTTTGTTTGAAACCTGTACTGTTTGTTTATATCCCATAGTTCCTTTCGAAATTCGCGCATATCGGACCGTAACATCCTTGATTATGACTACCGATTGGTCGCAAAATCGCGTTTTGTGGACCCCCTAGAGGTCACGATTTTTATCCGAATTAAAACAAAACGTTCGTATATATCAATGCTAGACGATAATAAAGGACGAGTACGAATTCCGGGAAAATTGTACCGAAACTGCTTGGTAAATTGGTAGCTCCTTGTACGCAAATAATGTATAAATATTTCATAAATGTATGTTTACATCCAAATCGCGCATATCGGACCACAACTGCCTGGATAATGCCTCTTAATTGTCCGACAAATCGTCTTTTTTAGCTTATGGGTGGCCTTAGAGGCCACAGTTGTTATCCGATTTTTATAAAACTTAAAATGTATGTTTATATAGCAAAGATCTTGGTACCGTTTGTTATTGTCGCATCTCGTACCGTACACTGTTAAAATAATTCTGTATTTTTACCTTTTTAAGCTGGGAGAAATGTTGCTATCATTATAACTGTATTTTAACATTGCATGTTATTTCACAGTCTGTAATGTAACTTTACCTCTAGTTATTATACATATAAGGTAAATTTACAAATATGTAAACAGAGTACATGTAAAATCAACATCAAGTTAATTTATACAAACCTGTAAAATCACCATGAAGTTATTATACATATAAGGTAAATTTACAAATATGTAAACAGAGTACATGTAAAATCAACATCAAGTTAATTCATACAAACCTGTAAAATCACCATCAAGTTAATTTATATAAATTGGTAAAATAATATTGTCTAATTATACCTCATTACAAATGGCAATATTTTCCAAGTTTATTTCTATTCCATGGGGGGGGGGGGGGGGTGGATGGCTGAATGGTTAGCGTGCGCGCGCTTTATCATAAAGCCTGTCATTGAGTCGACTGGAGTGGTTTCGAATCCCCGGTTGTACGTGACAAGGAGTAGGGTCGCCTGTCCAACCTCGTGGGTTTTCTCCGGGTCCTCCGGTTTCCTCCCACTGCTAAAGACCCCTACGCGCAAGCGAATTATTGAAATAAAATTAAACCATATGTTAGTCCCGAAATGACCTAGTTTGTGTCGAGTGGACGTTAAACCCCATTTCTCTCTCTCTCTCTCTCTCTCTCTCTCTCTCTCTCTATTCTATAGTGTAGATTTTACATATTATGTAAAATTACTAAAGGAAATGTGGCTGTCCCCGCTTTGCGAGGTTCGATCCTAGCGAACACAGAAAGATTTGGGGACCTTTCAGGCGAGCATGTAAAACAACATTAGACGGTGGAAAGAGTAGGTGCGATGACACGGTCCAAGCACACTTTGTCCACACAACACAATATATGGCATAGGATTATTAAGTGCATTCAGATTTTCAATAATCTGACTGACAGAACAGTAAATATATTGCACAAAATTCTATATGTATTCAAAGGGGGAATAACCGATGTGTCTTAACCCAGGGGGACAACTCCTAATCAAATACAGTAGACTTTTACATCTAGACAAAATTAGAATCCTAATACCATCCAGGGAGAATAACCGATGTGCCCACTATCTGACAGTAAATTTACAATTTGCTGCAAAAATAATATTTCAAATGGCATTTCTGTTAATACACAGCTCACATTTTGTAAACTGACATATGGTTGTAGTTCTATATTACGTTTGATGTACTTTTGTATAAGCCTTGTATTCATATGAATTTACACCGTTTTAAATGTAACTTAACACACCATGTGATCTGTTAAATCCCCCAATAGATTTTTGCTTTGCTTATAACGGTAAATATACATATAATTTTAACAAAGTGACATCCCGAATTATGGCCCCTTGTTATTCGTAAAATCGCTTTCTTGGCTTGTTCTTTGTCCATATCTTCCAACATGTGGGCATATCGTCCATGGCAGCCGCTTGATAATATTGCTGAATAGGTAAATAAGTACATGACTAAAACATAATTTGTCCTCAACTACAATATCTAATTTGTCAATCATCTATCCTGTAATTTGGTTGTATTTTTCAGCTACGAATTGTAGTGGTAAAGCCTGTAGTGCAGCTAATTTCGAACTGTGCATTGATGATACTTGTGTATTCACAGGTAAGTATAACATGTTACCTGTCTGTTCTGATTAATGTATACAATTTTATTACCGTAGCTCAGAATTGAATTGCTAACGTACTTACAACTTACAAACAGCTAACTATTTATAAACAGTTGAATTTAAACTCAAGTTCGAAAGATCAACAAATACAATAAATTTAATGAAAAGTATCACCATAACGCCAAACATAGAAATCTTGTTAAATCCTTGGTAAGAAATATGGAGCAATACGACAGTTAATTTTATAAAACTGCGATTTAATTAATTGCATTACAATTATTTCATGATAAAGTCTGACGAAAGGGCGTGTCCGTCGTTTGTATGTTGATCACATGTATGAACAGTTTTCAACACAATCCGTGAATTCCTGCATTATACAGTTATATAGCACATACAAAAGGACTACCGTTAATTTGGTGTTATATACATGTTTTATATTTCAGGTGCCTTCTGTGGGATGAAAGATGGCATATTTAACCTCTGTCCCCCTATAGGTATGTATGTTGTTTGTTTTACTAACTTACAAAATTATATAATTTGATAATATTTAGTTGAGCTACATTCATCGAACCAGTTCATGTTGGCATGTTAGGAATTATATGATCAAATGAATGACAATATACACTATGAAAACTTGACTGTTATCATCCATGTAACAACATAAAGAAAACTATATATAGCTATTTCCATGTTTAAACCTATCTATATCCATGTAAATAAACCGCATGTAATGTAATAACGCCCAGTATGCTAATAGTTCATTTGTTTCAGGTGATCAATGTGGGGATGGTCAGTTTTGTTCTGGTTATGATAAATGTGTAAATGACACGTGTCGAAGTAAGTATAATATAGATATATGTTAGTCATTTCTATTAGTAATACTGTTCTACTTCATCCTTCAACATTTAGTAACTTGGATGATTTGTCAAATGTTGTACTTTGTCTACTAGATCATTTTATCTGATGAAAGGACAGTTGTATATGGTAAATTATCTTTATTATAGATATAGTAGACTGTGAGACACTGACTGATGAAGTATGCCATGTCGGTGCTTTTTCTGGCACTTGTTCCGGTGGTGTTTGTCTCTGTAAATATGATTTATATTATAGACAGTGGGTCTTTTGTCATTTGTATATAAACCCTATGTATTTAGACAGTGGGTCATTTATATATATTATAGACAGTGGGTCGATCAGTTATACAAACCCGATATATTTATATATTTCAAAGATAGTATTTCTAGAAATCTGTAAATCTAATTCATTTCTATTTTTGTGTGATGTATATAACTGTTGGGGATATGATCATCATGTACAGACAGCCTGTTCAGAGCCTGTTTGTTGAGACTAACACTGTGAGGTCAATAATAAACATTATATAATAACACCGTTTTCTAATCAGAGTATTGGCCAATATTTGATCTTAGAAAAGGAGGTTGGGTGGCCGAGTGGTCTATCGCACAATTTTTTGATTATAATGCCTGATATCCATACAAGTAATAATTGATTTGCTCAACTATAACAACCGCCTGGTCGAAATAAAGCCTGCATTGTTAGTTCCGAAAGTACCTAATCATTCGTGTTTGAGGGGCTGTTATCACCCTCCCCCCTTCATCTGGATTGCACATAAGTGTTGATAGATAGTTTGATATTGGCGTGTGTAATATAATGATATATTAATTATATTTATAGTACCGTGTGACGACGACAAGACTTGTCAAGGTCTCTCATGTGTTGGTGGATCCTGTGCACGTAACTATTCTCTATTCTATTTATATATTACCCATCAATATTATATGATATGTATATATCACCCACCAGTATAACCTGATATGTATACATCACTAATCAATATGGCGTGATTTGTATATATAAGCATGTTTACCGTCTTTATTTAAATAAGTCAGAGAAGACTCGAGCCCCTCGGCATCATGACAACAAACAGCAAGTTATAACTTCACACATTCACCCAACAATTTTATTAATCATCTACCATGGTGTACTAAAGGTTTACACTATCTGTTTTTCACATATAGTAAACTCAAATCAGACATATTTTTAAACTACTTGATTCACTTTACGTAAATTTACAGCTAACAAACACGTAGTTTGAACTCTCCATCGATCTCTGCCGGTCAATGGCTGTCAGTTATTAGAGAAACGATAAATGTCTGATTTCTGTACACGGTTGTCAAACACCAGTTTCAATCAATTCAAATTTAATTGATTAACATTATAATGTAAAACATATTGCTTTTTCAACGAATCTTATACACGTTTTATGACTGGAGGGATTATGGCGGCTTGTTTATTGATAATATATAAACCATGTTTTGTATTTTGCAGTACCGAAATGTGGAGAATCATATTGTTCTTTGGAATCAAACTAATTGATGTTGTACAGAGAACAACTATTTATATATTCAATAGAATAAATTGTAATATGTAATAATAACCTATATTGTAATATTTAACATAAACTATATTGTAATATTTAACATAAACTATATTGTAATATTTAGACACTTCGTTAATTAATATATTTAACCACTGATATAAGGATTAATATAATAAACTATATTGTAATATTTAACATAAACTATATTGTAATATTTAACATAAACTATATTGTAATATTTAGACACTTCGTTAATTAATATATTTAACCACCGATATAAGGATTAATATAATAAACTATATTGTAATATTTAGACATTTCGTTAATTGATATATTTAACCACTGATATAAGAATTAATATAATAAACTATAATGTAATATTTAGACACTTCTTCAATTAAAAGCTGTTTAGTTCTTTCTTTATAAATTATAATTTGAAGCCAACACTATTTTCATCTTAACCAAGTTATTTAAATATAGATTATTCCATCCAAATATTAGTATTTTTTTGTATATAAATCGGAGAGTTCCTTCTTTTAAATCGTTTAATTATACTCTTCAAAAAGATTTTAGGGGATATTCAAAAACAATACAAAACTGCGGGTATGCACTGCTGTTTTTATTAGAGGTAACCAGTGTGTGTTAATTACAGGCCAATTGCCTACACATGAACATAAGCAATTCATATGGGCGGCTTATCTGACGGCCCCATTTCACTCGCAAATAGATACACTGTCAAAAGTGAAAATGGACGTTTTATATTTTTGTCTTAATGAGTAATTGGTCCACCAATACTCAGCCATTCAGCAATTCGTCGTGGCATGCTCTTAATCAACCGTCCAATCACGATATGGGGCAATCTGGCTCACTCCTCTTGCAGTACCACGGTTGACGGTTGACGTTGACGTCGACGAACACGTCTCCCGATCAAATCAAACGTAACCCACTAAAGCAAATATAGGCTAAACAGTCAAACTTATGCATGAACCGATAGGAAAGTAAACATTAATAGGATAAATCAGCAAGCGGCAGTTTTCAACAACCCTTCCTTCAAGTGTCAATTTTGACAATGAACCCCTCCCACGTGTTTGGCGCTATTGCGTGTCTCACATAGGTATTTGCATTTCAATATCCCCTACTTTTTTTAAGAGTATATATAATATATATAAAGGAATGTTCGAGTTAGGTTCCATCGCCGTGATTCGAGTAGATAGGGTAACCGATTGAGATTCTTTAATGCAATGCATAATAAAACCAGGGAGTGATAACTCTTCATTTCCTGGTAGTGTCTATGCTACTACCGATTAAGATTCCTTAATACAATGCATAACAAAAGCACCAACAAAATCAGAGTTTTCACTTTTGTTTGGTCGTGTCATAAGATTCCAGCTCTGTATTGAAAACCCGGCACCTTTCCAGCATGACTTCACCTCATCTTCACTAATATCCAATGAAAAGAATTTATGTTCCCCGACAAAATAGTATGTCCCCCCCAATACATTAGCGATAACCAAATGTCCGCCAATTTTAAGAAACTTTGATATTTTCTTGGCAATTTTTCCGTACGTTTCTACATCAGGAGCTGCAGCGTCAATACACAGACTTGTTGTGATGACGTCAAATAAGGGGAAGTAACTTCCTCCAAATATATCTTCTTGTAGCAGATCACAATGAAATATTCCACAGACTTTGGCTTTCAATTCATCAGAAACATTTGTCCAGGGTTGACTGAAAGAGATGAAAGTTTTGTTTTATTTACTTCTTGTCTCTAGTATGGCATCGCAAACCACCCAAAAAATAATAACAACAATTCTTAATTTATATAGCTTATACTGGCCGATGCAAAATTCAAGCCATTTCCGGTTTCCATGGATACAATTTAAAGGCTGTTCGCTATTCATAAGTGGAAGTTAATCTTTTTGTTTTCAATAGGGAGGCAGGCCATCATTAAATGTTTTTTAACACTACTCGATAGTAACAATGGAGAGAAAAGGAGGATTTCGGGCTGTAACGCATGTGCCGAATGACAGCTGAAACATCTGTCTAGTCGTTCGGATGGGACAAAAAACCGAGGTCCCGTGTACACATTTATGTGCAAGTAAATTATCTATTGGCGTGCACGTAAAAGATCCCTCGGCAGTAAATAATCTACTCGTTTTTACTGGACCACCCGATATATCAAATCAAGTTATTGTCGCGATTATCATGTCACCTTCCCCGTGAAAAATTGGATGGTCGAACGGTTTAACGTGTTTGCGTTAGATCATGGGGTCTGTCATTGAGTCAAGTGGCATGGTCTCGATTCCCCGCTTGCACGTGACAAGGAATATGGTCGCCTTTAAAGTCTTGAAGTTTCCCCCTACAGATAAAGTCCCATACGCGCTAGCCAGTTATTGAAATAAAATTGAACCATATGAAATGACCTAGTTTGTGTGTGTGTGTGTCTCTCTCTTTCTTTTCCTACCTTTTATCGCTGAACTTTGCCAAAAATTCAAAAATACTGGAAAAATCTTGTATACCAGATCCAAACAAAGCATCGTGTAGATATTTTCTATTAACCGTTGATAAATCTGTTAGGTATATATTTTGAACAAACGGTACTGCAGGAATCACAGAATGAGGAACAGGACCAGTTCCAATGTCCAATAGTCGCACACCGTTCACATTACCTGAAGATTTCAATACAAACTGTAACCCCTTCCGGTGCATTCCCACTTCGATAAGCATTATAATATAATATAGGGTGCCAGATAATGAAACATAGTCCTAGGACAGCTAAGTCATCCGTATGGGTGTATGAAATTAAAGAAGCTTTTCGCTCCCCCCAAAATAATAGTCCGCTCAGACGTGCAAGTTAAACTGATTAAAGAAAATGGCGATCGTAAAACTAGTTTAATTTCCACGTCCTCCGTCCTGCATCACTGACAAGGGAAAATCTTGATGAACTTTCTCGGCCAATGCAGGGATCGAAACGTATCAAGGTTAATATAGGTGAAGAGTTGAACCGAAAAACATGGTCAGACAACCTCATTGCTGGTATACGAATTTTGTTTTTGCAAGAACAGTCAGTAAAACAGTAAGAGCTAAGGGGGGGGGGGGAGTTCATTTACGTATACGCAAATCAGGGCGGATCCAGGAATTTTTGCCGGAGGGGGTGGCCTGGTACCCATGACAATGTATCTTCGGGAGGTGAGGTGGGGGTAAGGCGGGAGCTGTTTAAAGAGAGAACTCCAATACCCCGTTTGACGTCAATTTTTATTATGGATTAATACAATGACATTGTGATTCAATTTCATTGATTCAAAGCATTAATTGTGATATCACATATACCTATATGAACTCAGACTAGTAATTATTTGCCCATTGACTTCAATGTTAAATGGCTGTAACATCACCGGCTGTAGCTTTTTGCTCAACATTCCGTTGGTTCCAATCTTTATAGGCACAATGGGGACCACATTTAGCAATAACCTCATCATAAATTTGTAGGGGGTTGACCGTTTAGATTTATTGTTACGGGGATTGATGTTGACTGGGGTGAAATTCTCACTTCCGACACAATGATTGCTCTGCAGAAAGACACTTTACACCCCCTATCCCTCCGCTGTAATATCATCAGTATTACCCAAAACTGCTATGAAATTGCAAATTTTATCCCTTTTCTCCAATTTTAGACCAAAATACCAATTCAAAAATGCAGGAAGAGGGGAGAAAAAATAAGTAAAAAAATGACTATTTATAACTCGCACTACATTCGTCCATCATGAAATAAGGGAAAATAATTACTAGTCTTAGTCCATATCGCGCTTTGAAGGCCCATCCCATCCCACCATCTGACGATAAAGGATAAAGACACGACCGTGACACTTTTCTGATAAAAACTGTTGTTTTACAAATTTTTGTATGCAGCTGAGCCCCCCACCCCCTTCCCGGATACGCGCCTGGCCAATATCGGAACGACTAGATACTGTTCATTACAAACCGTGTTCGGTGGGAGCGATAACACAATTTACAAACCGTATTTTAAGTGACATTACCTGTTTTAAAGACATCGTGTAGACCTTTTAATATAAATGGCATTAATCCACCTTCGATTGTATCATCTAAAACAGTATAATATGATTTAATAAAAATATCAGGATCAAAGTGTGTATTGTAATCTTCATCTCTCAGTAGCCTGCTTTCCGCCATTGTAGTTGGTTGACTGTGACCTCTAAAGCCCTAAACATGCGACTGAACATTGACAGCTGGTCATCCGTAACGCATCAACATCATTAACCTCCTTTTACATCTAAACATCAACGAATAGATTAACCGTGTTTTGCACATTACCCCGTGATTGTATATATATTAAGTCAAACACCGTTTTATTTCACTGAATATACACAGACGCAGCATAATGATTTAATATTTACAAATACATTGGCAATAACGCATTAGCTCCGACTCGACTAATGAAGACGGGCATACGTCACCCAGTTTGCTATGAGGGTCATTTTCCCCGGACAGCGGCACTACAACCTGAAATGAAATGAAATGGGGGTTTAACGTCCTACTGTTCTGCTCCTAACCTGGGCTAATGAAGACGGGCATACGCCATGCAGTGTGCTATGAGGGAAATTTTGCCCGGGCAGCGGCACTATCGCCTACTCTTATATCGAATTCCAACTGCCAAGGGATCTTTTACGTGCATTCCAATATATACACGGGACCTCGGTTTTTCGTCTCATCCGAAGGACTAGACAGCTGTCATTGTCAGGCCCTCCCTCCTGCATCACTGACAAGGGGGAACCACGCCGGAAAATCTGGATGAACTTTCTCGGCCAATGCAGGGATCGAACACCCGACCTCCAGGCTAGCGAGCCAGCGCCTTACCCACTTAGCCAGGCACTACAACCTACTCTTAGACATAATCCCAACTGCCAAGGGATCTTTTACTTTTAAGCCAATGTGCAGACGGGACATCGGTGTTTCATCCCATTCGAACGACTACACAGTGTCCGTTGCCACTCCCTTCGTTCCTCACCACTGACCAGGGGGGGGGGAGGCTGGAAAATCTCGATGAACTTTCTCGACCAACACTGGGGTCGAACACGGGACCTCTATGTTAGCAAGCCTAGGTCGCACTCCCTGAGCCACCGTGGTTCCATTTCATATATGAACATTTCGACATGATATCTCCTTATGTATGTCATATGAACTTTGTTTTGAGTCATTTAGACTAGTTTTAACGTGGCGTCTTAAAAACATTTTGTGTTTCACATTCCACTTTTCCCTTGGTACAGATTGTATTATGATCAGTGGACAAGGGGGTTGTTATGGCTACCACACAAGTGTGTCGCCTAGTGTAGATATTAGGGTATTTTCACTGCGGTAAAGGTACAGCAGGGTGTCGCAAAACGCAAAATATAAACGCGCCATATAAATGTATAAATATTTCTATTTCCATGAGTACCACATTGTAGTAAGATTTGACGCATCGGCTATCACAGTATTTACGTCAGGTTTGCTTAGCATTTTACGGTAACACTTATCCTGTGTCACAGCCCCAAATCCTTTAAAGATACATTATGAAAGATTTAGATAAAGCGCTGACCATTCGTGCTATAATAGCTCAAAAATAAATAGGCAGTGGCTATTTGCCACATGTGGTAAGCAAGAATGTCAAAATAGCCCTGCGGCTACAGACCACAATTATTAACCGATTTCAATGAAACTTACAGATTATAATAACATTAATAATATCTCAAAATAGCCAAAATTTCGGCCACTTCCGGTTAGCGGTTTCCGAGATATCAGGTTACCACACATTTTATGTGGCACGGCTACAGACCACAATTATCAACCGATTTCAATGAAACGTACAGCTTATAATAACATTAATGATATCTCAAACTAGCCAAAATTTCGGCCACTTCCAGTTAGCGGTTTCCGAGATATCAGGTTACCACACATTTCATGTGGCACGGCTACAGACCACAATTATCAACTGATTTTAATGAAACTTACAGATTATTATAACATTAGTAATATCTCAAACTAGCCAAAATTTCGGCCACTTCCGGTTAGCGGTTTCGGAGATATCAGGCTACCACACAATTCATGTGGCACGGCTACAGACCACAATTATCAACCGATTTCAATGAAACTTACAGATTATAATAACATTAATAATATCTCAGCATAGCCAAAATTTCGGCCACTTCCGGTTAGCGGTTTCGGAGATATCAGGTTACCACACAATTCATGTGGCACGGCTACAGACCACAATTATCAACCGATTTCAATGAAACTTACAGATTATAATAACATTAATAATATCTCAAAATAGCCAAAATTTCGGCCACTTCCGGTTAGCGGTTTCCGAGATATCAGGTTACCACACATTTCATGTGGCACGGCTACAGACCCCAATTATCAACCGATTTCAATGAAACTTGCAGATTATAATAACATTAATAATATCTCAAACTAGCCAAAATTTCGGCCACTTCCGGTTAGCGGTTTCGGAGATATCAGGTTACCACACAATTCATGTGGCACGGCTACAGACCACAATTATCAACCGATTTCAATGAAACTTACAGATTATAATAAGAGTCTTAATATCTCAAACTAGCCAAAATTTCGGCCACTTCCGGTTAGCGGTTTCCGAGATATCAGGTTACCACATATTTCATGTGGCACGGCTACAGACCACAATTATCAACCGAGTTCAATGAAACTTACAGATTATAATAACATTAATAATATCTCAAACTAGCCAAAATTTCGGCCCCTTCCGGTTAGCGGTTTCTGAGATATCAGGTTACCACACATTTCATGTGGCACGGCTACAGACCACAATTATCAACCGATTTCAATAAAACTTAAAGATTATAATAACATTAATAATATCTCAAACTAGCCAAAATTTCGGCCACTTCCGGTTAGCGGTTTTCGACATATCAGGTTACCACACATTTCATGTGGCACGGCTACAGACCACAATTATCAACCGATTTCATTGAAACTTTAAGATTATAATAACGTTAATAATATCTCCAACTAGCCAAAATTTCGGCCACTTCCGGTTAGCGGTTTCTAAAAAATCAGGTTACCACACATTTCATGTGTCACGGCTACAGACCCCAATTATCAACTGATTTCAATTAAACTTACAGATTATAAAAACATTAATAATATCTCAAACTAGCCAAAATTTCGGCCACTTCCGGTTAGCGGTTTCGGATATATCAGGTTACCACACATTTCACGTGGCACGGCTACAGACCACAATTATCCACTGATTTCAATTAAACTTAAAGATTTTAATAACATTAATAATATCTCAATTTAGCCAAAATTTTGGCCACTTCCGGTTAGCGGTTTCCGAGATATCAGGTTACCACACATTTTATGTGGCACGGCTACAGACCACAATTATCAAACGATTTCAATGAAACTTACAGATTATAATAACAATAATAATATCTCAAACTAGCCAAAATTTCCGAGATATCAGGTTACCACACATTTCATGTGGCACGGCTACAGACCACAATTACCAACAGATTTTAATGAAATAATATCTCAATTTAGCCAAAATTTAATTTCAATTAAACTTACAGATTATAAAAACAATAATAATATCTCAAACTAGTCTGGCACGGCTACAGACCACAATTATGTACCGATTGCAATGAAACTTACAGATTATAATAACAATAATAATATCTCAAACTAGCCAAAATTTCGGCCACTTCCGGTTAGCGGTTTCCGAGATATCAGGTTACCACACATTTTATGTGGCACGGCTACAGACCACAATTATCAAACGATTTCAATGAAATTTACAGATTATAATAACATTAATAATATCTCAATTTAGCCAAAATTTAATTTCAATTAAACTTACAGATTATAAAAACAATAATAATATCTCAAACTAGCCAAAATTTCGGCCACTTCAGTTTAGCGGTTTCGGAGATATCAGGTTACCACACATTTCATGTGGCACGGCTACAGACCACAATTATCCACCGATTTCAATTAAACTTACAGATTATAATAACATTAATAATATCTCAAACTAGCCAAAATATCGGCCACTTCCGGTTAGCGGTTTCCGAGATATCAGGTTACCACACATTTCATGTGGCACGGCTACAGACCACAATTATCAACTGATTTCAATAAAACTTAAAGATTATAATAACATTTATAATATCTCAAACTAGCCAAAATTTCGGCCACTTCCGGTTAGCGGTTTCCGAGATATCAGGTTACCACACATTTCATGTGGCACGGCTACAGACCACAATTATCAAACGATTTCAATGAAACTTACAGATTATAATAACATTAATAATATCTCAAATTAGCCAAAATTTTGGCCACTTCCGGTTAGCCGTTTCCAAGATATCAGGTTACCACACATTTCATGTGGCACGGCTACAGACCACAATTATCAACCGATTTCAATGAAACTTAAAGATTATAATGACGTTAATAATATCTCAAACTAGCCAAAATTTCGGCCACTTCCGGTTAGCGGTTTCGGAGATATCAGGTTACCACACATTTCATGTGGCACGGCTACAGACCATGTGGCACGGCTACAGACCATAATTATCAACCGATTTCAATGAAACTTACAGATTATAATAAGAGTATTAAGAGCTCAAATTAGCCAAAATTTCGGCCACTTCCGGTTAGCGGTTTCCGAGATATCAGGTTACCACACATTTCATGTGGCACGGCTACAGACCATAATTATCAACCGATTTCAATGAAACTTACAGATTACAATAAGAGTATTAATATCTCAAACTAGTCAAAATTTCATGTGGCACGGCTACAGACCACATTTATATACCGATTTCAATGAAACTTACAGATTATAATAAGAGTATTAATATCTCAAAATAGCCAAAATTTCGGCCACTTCCGGTTAGCGGTTTCCGAGATATTAGGTTACCAAACATTTCCTGTGGCACGGCTACAGACCACAATTATGTACCGATTGCAATGAAACTTACAGATTATAATAACAATAATAATATCTCAAACTAGCCAAAATTTCGGCCACTTCCGGTTAGCGGTTTCCGAGATATCAGGTTACCACACATTTCATGTGGCACGGCTACAGACCATAATTATCAACCGATTTCAATGAAACTTACAGATTATAATAACAATAATAATATCTCAAACTAGCCAAAATTTCCGAGATATCAGGTTACCACACATTTCATGTGG